GGGGGGGGTGGGGGTGGTACGTAGTGATTTGATAACCCACTCTTTTACTACGTAAATGTGGGTAAAAATACAATAATATTATATCTTAATATACAGCGGTAATCAATATTTTATTGCAAACTAATTATTCTATTATATTAGATTAAAAATAAAATTTAGAAAATAATAAGAGATAAATTTTAGTGGTACAGTTTGTTGTAAGTCACGGGTAATTCAAAATACATTAATTAATTTTGACATTTATATTATAATTAAAACAATATTTTTACATTACTGTTCCTACTAGAAAATGAAATGATATAACATTTAAAGCTAAAAACAATATCTAGTACATTTTACTTATATTTTAATACCCATAATAAAGTAATTACATGTCTGTCGTTTATTATTTTTAAAAATGATTTTAATTAGGATTTAAAATTTTATTTAGGACAATTTAATTACATGTACTCATAAAATAGACTAAATATACTAGTTTTTGGATACAAGTCAGGATTTTCCATTAGAATGTACTAAACTAAAATCATTAAGCACCTGATAACTAATCCGCATCTATTAAGACACAAACTGATTCTGATCAACCAGAAAATTAGTATAAATAGCTGGTTCATCACATAGCAAAAATCATTCAACTACATATCCAGTTAACTAATCAAAAGCTAACTAGAAAGTTAATAACAAAAATGAACATGTTAAAGGTTTTAGTGCTTTTTGGTCTCATTTACTGTAAGTCTCTCTCTCTCTCTCTCTCTGAAAAATTAATAACACTTTACCCCATATATAGGTACCCTATCGTCACCGGTAGCCAAACGGGACGTGAGGGACGACCTCCTGAAAAAGGCCGACTCGTTGGACAAGGAGGCGGCCGCCGAAGTCAAGAAACTCCGATCGGAGGGCCGGACCGCCGCTGCCGACGAATTGGAGACCGAGAGGGCACACATAGAAACGGTAGCCAAAGAGCTAAAGGCCGCCACAGACCCCATCGCTATTGAGCGCCTGGAGCTCGAGTTGGGAACACTCGAGAAGCACATCGAACAGACCCTGGCCTACGATGAACGCACAGTCAGTCCCTCGTCGACTACCAGAGCCCCGACTACCAGAGCGGCGACTACTGTGGCAGATGTCAAGTCAGATCTACTCAAGAAGGCTGAGTCGTTGGACAGGGAGGCGTCCGCTGAGGTTAAGAAACTGAGAGCCGCCGGACGGGACAGGGATGCCGAGGAACTGGAGGCCGAGAGGGCTAACATGGAAAGGGCGGCCGCGGAGTTGAAAGCGGCTACCGATCCCGTGGTTGTCGAGCGCCTGGAACTGGAGTTGGAGGGGATTGAGAGACACATCGAGCAGACCCTAGCCTACGATGAACGCACTGCCAGCCCCTCGTCGACTACCAGAGCCGCCCAAATGATGGATTACATTGAAATTAATATTTAAATGATATATTTGTCCATGATAAATTATTTTTAAATTGTCAAAAATAATAGGTTAATAAAACATTCTAATTTTTTACTTATATTTTTATTTTGTATATTAATGTGTAGATCATAGAGCAGAGGCGTACAGATATGACCGTTTGCGGTCAACTAGCATTTTATAGTTTAATACAATATTTACAACACTAGTATTTTATGAATCAGGAATTAGTCATTAGTATTAATAAAATTGATATTAATTTTCATTACTTAAAGCAAAGTATAACTTATGTGTTGCGTTGTGGACTAAATTATGTGTCAATGCTTTACTATTCAGTATTTCTAAACAAATGGATAAATCATTGAAAGTTTACTTATTCACTCAAATATTTGTTGTAGGTTTAAAATATCTTAAATTAGTGTATTAATCATTTGAATATTATATTTTTGTTTACTAAATTTTTCACAACAAATCTTTGTCAATTTTAAATCATAAAATATTAGTGTTTGGAATAGTTAATAAGTTTATTAATATTATAAAACACTAATTTAGAGATTTTAAAAATTTTGGACGTCTATGGTCTATATTATATACGTACAGGTGGGATATATTTTTATAATTTTTATATATCTATAGCATATCGTCTACTTGTATTACCCGATTGGACTCTTATTTTGAAATGATGTGCAACTTATACTATTAGTTAAATTCATTCTATGACTGACTTAGGTTGGATTCACGATATTCTGCTTTCCCAATATGAAGAACCAGGATGATTTAATGGCACTTCTCATGTGGACTGTATTCACCTTTTACCTGGATGATTTCCTTGAGAGCCAAACTACTAAGCTGCACTATTGGGTGCGGTATGTACTTCTGCTTTAGGTTCATTAATCATAAATCAAATTATTTACATTACAGTGCTACTAGATACTTCGGAATAATATATAATAAGTTATTCCTAATCATTAGAAAAATGAGTTAACCAGCTTTTACTATACTAGTAAATTAATTATAATGATAAACCCTAATAAATTCGAACAATTAGAATATGGGAGCAAAAGATAACGGCTGGTCACTCGGTTGGAACCGACTTTTTGGAGCTGTGTTTTAATGATTTACGCGCCCGAATGAACAAGGTACTTTCCGAGAAATTGATTGTGATGCACAATTCATGGTACATGAAATATCTGAATTTCCACGTTGACACCGATAAAGTTAAGAATGGCGAACACTTATCTACATTCAAAGAGTACGATACATTCATAATGTTAAAGGTATTAATGGAGAGAGAGAGAGAGAGATTTCATCAGATATTTTTGCGTCACACGTCACTCGGAGGTATGGTGTGGTGGGAAATTCACTCTCGACTCAGCGGCGAGTCTCACAGTTCAACACTACTGTTGGAGTGAATAGTCGTCATCATGATCCACACTCAAGGGTATCGCCTCTCCCCATACTTATGCAAGTTGAAGAAACGACTGCTCTGACCCTGGACTAGTCGCCTACCTAACAAGAGGTTGCAATACGTACGCCTTGCCGCTTAGGCCACCGCCCCCTCGGTGAGAGAGAAAGAGAGAGAGAGCATTTGAAAAGTTTTATTTAAAACTCAATATTTAATATTAAGTACATATAAATTAAATTTTAAACATAATTTTGTTTTCATTATGAATTATAAAGTAATATTTTCTCTACGGAATTGGATTCAGATTGTGATCCAAATGAGTTGGTTTACTCGGATCTACTTTAATCGTTTTGACAGTATTTCCAAATTTGACTTTAACTTCGCCGGCGACCGAACTCTTAATCAAAACATTATTCAACGTATGATTATCCCAATAGATGTCCAACT